AGCGGCAGGTGCGGGCCACGGGGCACCCGGCCTGCCCTGCGCCGGGGACATCCCCTTCTCCACCTTCATTGTGGTTTTAGAGGCCGGAGCCCAAGGCCTCACCCAAGAGGACAGAACGCACAGCTCGACTACCCCATTGCTTCTGCCCCGCTAGCTCTGCACCACCGCCACACCGGGACCACCTCCTGTATGCTGGCGGGGGCCTGTGCCACGTTCTCGTGTGCCCCTTGAGGCCGCTGGTGCCTCGGCACTTCTGGCACGGAGCCACATGAACTGTCTTGAAAGGGCAAGAACGAAAAGCAACAATGAGAGGCAGCAGTGCAGCCTGTAAAGATCGACGATGTCTCCAATTCTCAGAAACTCGATGACAAGGAATTCCCAGCATAGGCCCAGGCTAAAGAAAGGGGGACTGTTCATCACTGCCTCATGCTCGCAGAAGAGGCACTGGAGGCCTAGCCAAAGCTGAGAATACAGGCCTTTTGCGCCTGGCTCTGCTGTGCCTCTGCAGTACCTCTTGGAAATGGGAACTAAAGTCATCTTCAAAGAAAGACAGTCCTCAGCAGATGCCCGAGACGCAAGTTTGCCACTCAGAGAGCAGTGTCTTGGCTGCAAGGAGTTGACCAGGAAGGGTGGTTACAAAAGCCTGTGTTGCCCGGAAGGTGGATGCTGGGATATGGCTTCAGGTCTCCCCATGAAGCTCTCTCTGCATGAGATGAAACGGGGAGCCATTCAAAACAGCTCAGCTTCTGTCTTACCACCTTTGCAGCCACATCTCCCACACCTGTACCATGGTCCTGGCTAGCCAGGCTCAGACATACTGGCCCCTCCTTTCCTGAGGTGGCAAGTCACCAGAGCGCACTGCTGTGGATCCCAAGAGAGCAGCCAGCCCCTGCCCTTCAAAGAGCCAGCCCAGGCAAGAAACAGCATCAAGTTCCCTGATGCCATCACAAGCAGGGCCGTTTCTCTGAAACGGGTTGAAGTGGTGAGGAGCCCTCTCTCTGTGCCACAGCAGAACACCTGCTAGGTGGGCATCAGGATAACATGCCTATAGCCTAGATCTGCGTGTCCAGAGTGCGTCGGACTCCAGCCTCCACAGCACCAAAGGGACAGAGATGGGTGACTGTGCAAGCACAGGAGACTGCACTTTATCCTTCTCCAGTTCTCAGAAAGCAGTTGGCAGGATGGCAGAATTGGTGCTGAACACTGCAGAGAGGGAAGTAGCGCTCTTAGGAGCTGGCAGGCATCAGGGCAATGCCTTAATCTCTCTTCTAAAAAGACCTCAGGTGCAAAGTCTCCCAATATGCCTGCTATGCACACTAAGTCTGGTCAATGTGCTTAGGCTGCCTGAGAACCTAAGTGTGACAGCCAGTGTCAAGTGAGAGCCCAGAGGAGGATCCTCAGGTTTGGAGAGGTTTAAGATTAGCACGACTACACTTTCCCCATCCTCCTTTCCCTCAAAGGGCATCTTCCTGATACATGACCAAATAGGCACATGGACAGAAGTGTCTTCTAGAAGTCCTTGTCTATCTTGAGCAGGATACCTGTTAGAAGGGTCCCAGGCACACTGAGTTCGTCTCCTCAGCTTGATCTGCATGTCCCAAGAGCAGCAACTTTATTTCTTATACTTGTTTGGAGTATGAGGATGAATCCCTAGCTGATGGGCAGCCCTCAGAGCAAAGCACAGCATTCACGAGTAACTAAAAACCTTCTTAAACCCCTCTCATCCAGCAGTGAGTCTTCCTCCTCTTCCCCTTCCAGGGGATACGAAAGGGCAGTGAAGTCGCTTTTAGCTCATTCAAAGGGAAAGGGGATGCTTCAAGTGATATTTCGGGTACTTCTCCCCAGTAACATCTGCAACCGGCCAAAAGCAGAATGGCTGTAGGAAAGTCAATAGAGCCGGAACCGTCTCACCTGGGGATCTGCCGCGGGGAGGGCTGGTAGCCCAGTGTTCTTTCCATAGTCAGTGTGCCTCTGCCTCCCCCGCAGCAGCGCTCGCCCCCGCGGCCGGTCAGGGAAGGGCGCCGCGGCCCCAGGGCACAGCGGGGCGGTGATGCGGACCCCGGCTGCCCTCAGCCAGCACCCGCCGCCTGAGGAAGGGAGCCCCGGCGGCAAGGCCTGTCCCGGGCGCGAGGAAATCTACTCAGCCGGGGCGGCCCAGAAAATTAAGTGATTCATTGTCAAAGCGCCGGAGGAACTGCAGAAGTCCCGCGCGCACAACCGCGGCTCTCCCCCACA